TTTTTTTTTTTTTTTTTTGGTATCAGGGATTGAACTCAGGGTCTTGTGCTTTCGAGGCAGGCACAATGGGCACCACTGAGCTAAATCCCTGGGCCCAAGAATATTGTTTTATAAGCCCTTATCTATTCCATGAGTATCCACAGTGCCTTGCTACCCAGATAATCAAAAACAAATTAATAACCCGGAGACGGGAAGGTACTGCGCTGGGTGAGAGGAGTAGGCCCTGGACAAGGCACAGTCTCAGATTCTATGATAGTTGTGAAGCCTGGTTATGATCTGCTGGTGCTTTACAAGTGAGAGAAAGGGACACTGCTGAGTGATGCTGGGTGAATGCTTCTGTGTCTTGCTCTGGACAGAGTGGATCTCGCAGGCCGAGGGGAATGGACTTCCCATTTCAGCCAGTGCAAAAGACGAGACAAACAGGCCAGGGACATTTTGAGAAAAAGATAGCTGACCAGTCAGACTACAATGGAGAATTTATCACTTTTTGTAAGGGGTTATGTTTCCATAGTTCTTTCAGGGTTGACCTTACAAAAGGAAATGTTGGTTTCAACCACCTGTCCCTTCATTTAGTAAGGAATCCAGTAGAGGAAGATGAAGGTTCCCTGCATACAGGTTACAAATCTGTTCAGTTTGTTCCTTTATTCCCAGTGCCTGCCATAATCCCTCAAGAAATATTCACTAATTGAAAGAATAAGTGAATTTATTCAGTGTCGCGTACAAGACCCAATTTCAGTGATAGTGAACCTCTTAGAGACCGACTGCCAAACTGCAACCCCAAACCCACTTAATTTATTGCAAAGCGCCAGCACTGCAATTAAGCCCCAATACTGAAGTTTCAGTCTAGATAAAACAGCTCTACATTAACACCTTTGTCTTAAAAGAAAAACATTTGAGAGAAATCACAATCAACTGTAGGAAGGGGGAAGGCACAGTTCATCTTTTTAAGTCTGCTGGGCGTACTGAATGTTAGGCTACAGCAGACGGACCTGCGAATGGGGCAGGCAAGAGTAGCGACATTAAAACTAGTATCCGAGTTCTTCCTACACTGGCCTGATCAGTGCCTTCTTTTGGAGATGAAAAGCAAAGGTCGAGGAAAAGAAATTATTTTTGCCTTAAGGTTGGTTTCATTATCTGTCTCTTGAAAGCAATTCCAAGAGTATCACCTGAGCCAGGCTGGATTTCCTGAGCTATTATCATTTAAATGAGAATTTGAATAAGCAGAATTTGCCTCAGTGAGGAAAACTGCCTGGGGCACCAGCCTAGAAGAGGTTAAGTGGACTGGTTTTTCCCATGCTGTATCAGACAGTGGCTCAGGAAGGAGGCCTCAATTTTCTCATTATTCATCTGCCATATTTTTCATGGCTCTACACTTAGCAAAATTTGATTAATTCAGCCTAATCAAATTTACTGAGCTCTGATGCAGGTACTGAGAACTCAAAGATGGACCAGAGATATTTGTGTCCTGTGTCTCCAGGTTAGGGGAGGAAAGTTTTGGCCTCTAAGGTATAACGGGGGAGTCCATTTCTGTTGTGATCGCTCCATGGTCATCATCACTATAAGCCAGGTACAATAGTAAAAGTTGTCTCATGTAATTCTTACGCCAATTCCAAGTAGTAGATGGATAATTGAGACTTTGAGAGGTTAAATGATCTACCTGAGGGTCAAAGAAGTTAGCAAGTGGCAGAGCTGGAATTTGAATGCAGATCTAATAGCTTTACAAGCTGTATTTTTTTAACTGTTATTCACTATTACTCCCTTAATTTGTTGCTGCCTGTGTAAAGGAAAGAGTATATTGCTTTACCCAGAGCTTTGCCCACCCTGCTGTGATTAGAAGGAACTTGTGTTGTAGAAGGAAGTCCTCTCAGCCACAGGGAACAAAAGCTCATGAACATTGTTAGGAACCAGAAGATCTTGAATCCAGTGAAATATGGTGGGGATTGCTTTCCTGACACCTTGGTAGGAAGAAACCAGACTTGGCCCAGGTCAGTTTGTGCAGCTGATAGGAGCACAGGACAGATAGCATCCTGCCATCAGATACCAGCCCAGTGAGTGCTGAGTGTCATGTGTGGGCCTTGCTGACTTCTAACCACAGCTCGATTATAATCATTAAGCTTTTACAGGACACTGAATGCATTGCAAAGAGTTTTTACAATCTTATTATTAGTAGCCTGATGGCAGGGCTGCTGCCTCCTCTTCCAGGTGTGGAAACAGGGCCATTGTGGGGTTAAGTTGCCTGCCAGAGGTCATCCTTTGGCTAAGCCAGGGATTGGCCAGATAAGGTCAGTCTTAGAGTAGAAACTCTGGGGAGTTAGAGGAATGAAATAATACCTTGGGGATCTGGAAGGTAGCAGGATACCTGAAATTTATGTTTTGTCATCTAATGAAAATTTTAGTTTTGATGTGAACAGTTCTGATAAATAAAAAGTAGAAGAGGTCCGACCTTCCTCTCTTCTTCTGTTTCCTCCTTTTATAATGCACAAGTGGACTCTTGATTTATGAACTGGGCTGGTTGTAACTCAATACAGCTGAGGTCTGGATGTTTATTTGGGTACACACTATAGATAACAAGAGGCAGATGAATCTTCCATTAATCTAATTAGCCCAAGTTGTTCGTATGTCAGGCTGGTTGTGACTTGAGGGTCCACTATACTGTCTTTTTCTCTATTATCCAAAAGAAGAAGTAGATCCTGAACAAATGATTCCAAGTCACAGGCAGATAAAGAAGGGCATGGGTTGTGGGTAGTTCTGATCATGCCAAGTAGAGGTCAAACAAGAAACTGAAAGTCACTCCTTTTTGCTAGGAGATGGCATTATGATATCCTTTTATTCTCCATACAGTAAGTCCCTGACTTGCAAATGAGTTCTGTTCTGGGAGAACATTTGTAAGTTGGATTTGTTCATAATCAACAGTGAGTCTTATCAATACACCTGTGCAAATCCATAACTCAAATGTTTGTAAGTTGGGATCTTACTGTATAAGGTTTCTAGTTAAAGCACTAGCACTTTCTAGGTATTCAGGTACTTCAGGTCATAATGTTAACTAAATTTGGGAAGTTGGGGTTAAGCAAATTGAAACAAGCTATCAGTTATCTATTTATCCATCCA